GTAAGGATTTGTTCCCTCTTTTGAGCTACTGCATCCATAGGTGTAGGGTCAAGTTCATCAAATTATATCAGATTACTCTCCTTTCTTCTTCTGGTTGAGCTCTGATCATTGAAGCCAGGTCAAGTGGGTATTATCTGGGAGTGTGGGTGTTGTGCATATGCCCTCTTTTTATCAGCTGAACTCTTCACTCTCCACATTGTAGGGCTTAGCTCACCACTTCGTTGCTGTTTTTCCCTCACTTCTCCTTATTGGTGACGAGTGTGGTTACCAGTCATAGCGTGTATTCCCATTGAGTCTTACTCTTGGAAGGGGTTTGCACTGAGGGGATCCAACTGCTTGCCTTCATGTTTCCTGGGCAAGCAATTGGTTTGTTCTTGTAGTAACAGTCCATCTGCCTCTATTGTTTTGTATTTTTCCTGTAGATCTTTTCTTTCAAGAAGTATCTTTCCTATGAATGGCTGGTAGGTTTAACTGTCAACCTTGTGATCCAATGCTTGTCATACAGTGCCACACCAGGACTCCCAAGTCATTAAGTGGACTTTCTGAAATAGTCTGATACTGATTATGTTAAACACATAGAACCTTCTCATATTTTAAATTCCAGAAGTTAGGATAAAGGTCTCATCAATATTGTCCTTTGGAAAATTAAGAGTTTTTAATATTATAAAGGACTTCTAGATTTCAAACCAGAAGGTTGGCAGTTCAAACCCCAACTGCTTAGCACAAACAGGGTTGCTTTGAGTTGGAACCGACTCGACAGCACTTAACAGCAGTATTAAAAATGTATAATTTTATTGTCATTGTTTGTAAAACTTATCAAGTCTTCAGCCTTGGTATTTAAAGTATGCCCTGCCAACTATAGCATCAACTTTATCTGGAAGCCTGTTAAAACTTCAGAATCTTCATATTTAGCAAGATTTCACGGTGATTTATGTGCATATTGAGAAGCATTGCTTGAAAATGTTTTATGCTTTCAACTTTAAATTTTCATATTAAAGCCAAGTAACATGTAGTAATATATCTGATATCCATAGCCCTTGTGTTTACTCTGGTTTTTACAAGTCCTTTCAGGAGATGATCAGAGAAAAAGTACTGAGCTAGAAATACTAAGTGGATCTATTTATGGACTAGAAGTAACTGAACTTTATATAATAAAATAGACTAATTTCATTGTATGCAATTTTTTCTCTATATCGATTCTTTACTTCACTAATAATCATCTTCTTTTCTCATCTTCCGATTTCTTAAACTTTCCAGAGACTTACCTGTTGACCTATATGTAATTGTACCTTTTCAAGGCCCAGAATCTGCTTGAATTACCATTTGATTTGAAATTGGCAGTTAACATCCTGCTGTTAAATGAAGTCTTATAATATCTTTGTTCTAATCCATTAATTTACAAACACTTACTAGAATAACTTTCAAGGAAATCTTGTTTACATATGTAATAAATACATTCGACAGGTATTTTGTAAGACCTAGATGTGTTTTGAAAACACAGGTATATACAGGTAGTATCTGCCATTCCAAATCTGTAGTTGTGGGTAGATAATAAAAAGTAAAGGCTAGTCAGATTTAGTTAGTGGTTGTTTTAATACCCTGTATTTCTCCCAATATTTAAAAATAATCCTTTGATTTCTTACATTTAAAAGGGAGGACTCCTAGCATGGACTGTGAACTACAAGGTCGGCAGTTCAGATCCACCAGCTGCTCCACAAAAACCCTATGTATAGTTGACTCACTGTGAGTCAGAACCGACTTGATGTTATTTAACAATAACATTTAAAAGGGACTGACTCTAAAATAATAAAACTCAAGGAAGTTAATATGAACTTGTGAAATCGTATTTCCATTTGAACAATGGAAATCTTATTTTGTTGTCAAGAGTAAACTTTTAATTAAGATACCAAATTCATAAATAAGCATATAAGAGACAATATGCTATTGTGGTAAGTTCTGGTCTAAGGGTGTTAGCTGACTAGCTGTTTCTGAATCACTTTTTAGACCATATGACCTGTTTAAAATTCTATTACTGACTTCCATGCCCTGTACACTCTTTTTGGACCCCATGTACTCCTGCCATTCAAATAGTGATTAAGAGTTGGTGTTAATGTTATAGGTGCCAATGATGAACCAAAAGGATCTATTTATTACTCTTTTAATACAATTTTTGTAACACACACCTGCTTTTAAACGTCAGCAGCAGCTGACATTAAATAAATATGAATGACTTGATTTTTTTGTGATTATTTTTAACTTACTTCGAAATAATGCCAGACTTATTGCAAAATTGCACTTACTGGAAAGTTACAAAAATATTTCAGAGTAGCATCACCTAGATTCCTTACATATTAGCATTTTATTCTTCCATGTTGTTAAGTGCTGTTGAGTCTGTTCCAACCCATAGCAACCCTGTACAGGGTTTCCGAAGCTGTAAATCTTTATGGGAAAGCCTCATCTTTCTCTGGCGGAGTGGCTGGTAGTTTAGAAGTGCTGACCTTAAAGTTTGCAGCCCGAATCGTAGCCACTACACTAACGACTCAACGCTTAACAACAACAAAGAATACATTGTTGTTGTTGTTGTTAAGTGCCATCGAGTCGGTTCCGACCCATAGCGACCCTGTACAGGGTTTCCAAGGGTGTAAATCCTTACGGGAGTAGAAAGCCTCATCTTTCTCCCGCGGAGCAGCTGGTAGTTTCAAACCGCTGACCTTAAGGTTCGCAGCCCGATTCGTAACCACTACGCTACCAGAGCTCCTTGTTGTTGTTGTTGTTAAGTGCCATCGAGTCGGGTCCGACCCATAGCGACCCTGTACAGGGTTTCCAAGGGTGTAAATCCTTACGGGAGTAGAAAGCCTCATCTTTCTCCCGCGGAGCAGCTGGTAGTTTCGAACCGCTAACCTTAAGGTTCGCAGCCCGATTCGTAACCACTACGCTACCAGAGCTCCTTAGACGGGATTAATTCCCGTCTAAAGACTCTGTTGGAAGGACTATTTGAAACATACCACAGAAAATTGGTTCAGTCATTTCCTGGCCTAAGTACATATTTTTAATTTGATGTTGAAAATCTAAAGTGCATTAAGGATAAATAGGAGTAAAATAAGTGGTGGTGAGCAGTGGTCCAGAGATACAGTAAGTAGTAAGAATGGAGAAAAGAGAACAAATGACCTTAATTGGAAATATGTGAGATTGCAAGCTAAGGACAATTACTTAAAATTTAGGTTGAAGAATTTAGAAGATAATACCTCTAGCAAGATGCTGTGGTTTTTAGTGTAAAATGACATCACTGTATTGGCCTTTGAAGGGGAAAGTACAGGTATTTGTAAAAACAGATCAGTGTGATGAAGTACCCCCAGTCCCACAAGAGGCAAAGATGCTACCTTAAAACGAGTGTGAGATTTAATAAAGGAGTCAGTTATAGAAAAAAATGTACTCTGAATTGTGTTGTTAAATAATCAGTTGAGCTAGTAATAAGTTATTGTTTAACAGTTGATTCGAACTATACAATTGGAAATAGAGACTGGAAGGATTGATAGTAGTGAGGAAATTGGCATATTATTGTTAAAACACGATTATTTCACAATTTTTATTTTTCATAAGCGGGCACTGAGATATTAATGTAAAACCTGAGTTAAACATGATTTTTGTTTTATACAGTGGAATGTAAAGTATATACTTCTAGGATATTCTAGAACTGGACCACAGGCAGTTGAATGTAATTTTATGAAGGGGCTTATTCAGACTTCTTATATGTAAAATATTCTGGGTTATGGGAAGGTCTGTGAAGGAAAATAAAGCTAGAACAGTGAAGACAGAAAGTAAAGGAGTGGTGCTCTCTATCTAGTTCAGCATTAACTATTCCCTGTCCCTGTAAGTCTTTGTGTTTGCCTGTTATTATTACACTGTAAAACTTTGCGCTGACAGTGTGTCCTTGGAATCATCTATACCCTGTGGGACCTGGATTGTATATACTCATAAAGCAGTACTTTACATAATAGGATAAAGCTGATGGTGAATTTTGTTTATTTGAACTATTAAATTAATCTGCATTTTATAATTTCATATACATTTTTCTTTTTTAAAAGGACACTGTCAAGTTATTTACTTTTGTTTCCATTGATTGCCGCTTTTCTTATTTTTAACAGACAAAAGTTGATGAAGTGTTTTATTCATTTCGTTCCAATTTTCAATATTACAGTGGTAGGAATATAGCTTGCTAACCACTACCATATATGTCTGTACAATATATATATTTGTAATTAATAATTTCTTTTTAGTCTTTGATTTAGATTGATTGTTATGGGATTTCTTCATTTTTGTTTTGCTTGTTTTTTTAGTTCAAGCATATATTAGTAGGTCAACTAAGAATCATTTGTCTTTTCATAGAAGTATGTAATGACTTAGTGTATTTGTATATAGTTCAAAAGGTACAAATTTGGAATCAGATGTTCCTCTATTTACCCCATAAGCAACTTCCAAATTTGTATTTCAATGACTTAAAATATATTTACTAGTTATTTATAACTTATTAATGGTAACTCAAAGTTTTTTTGGTGCTTTTAGTTCAATTGCTATTATAGTATATGACATTACCTCTGAAAATTACATTTTTAACTAAGGTGCTAAAGAATTACTGTAGGTTGACTCTTCTTGTATTTTCCAGTCTGTTTTTTTCATACAGCCATACACGTTAAGTAAATGTGTGATATTTTTACCCTGTAATTTTAATTTTGTAATAACATAGGAATTAGTAAACACTTCTTTATTAATTTGAATTTATAGCTTAATTAGCTTTACTTGTGAAACTATTTGATTCTGTCAAAAATACTTGCTGACCACAACTGCTTTGTTGTAGGAGGACTGACAAATGGTAGTGGTCGCTATATCTCTGCAGCACCTGGAGCAGAAGCAAAATACAGAAGTGCTTCAAGCACTTCCAGTCTATTTAGCTCCAGCAGCCAGCTCTTTCCTCCTTCTCGGCTTCGATATAATAGGTCTGATATTATGCCTTCTGGCCGCAGTAGATTATTGGAAGATTTCAGAAACAACCGCTTCCCAAACCTTCAACTTAGAGACTTGATTGGACATATAGTTGAGTTTTCTCAAGACCAGCATGGTTCTAGGTAGGTGATTGTGATTTGCTTTGAAAGTTACTACCGTGTAGGAGTCTTTTTCTTGACCAGAATCAGCTAATCTACATAAAAATTGAAAACTTAAAAAAAAAAAAAGAATTGTTAAGTGCCATCGAGTCGGTTTTGACCCATAGTGACCCCTGTATAGGGTTTCTCAAGCTGTAAATTTTTAAGGGAGCAGAGAGTCTCATCTTTCTCCCGTCAGAACCTCTGGTAGTTTTGAACTGCTGACCTTGAGGTTAGCATTCCAACTTGTAACCACTGTGGTACTAGAGCTCTATAATAATCAGTATAGATTATATTTTTCTTTCACATGAGGATAAATTATTTTTAAAGGTTTTTATGATTTCCTAGGTTTTTAAATTATTATTATAAGACTTTTTGTACTGAAAATATAGAAGAACCTATAATGGATTATATTGGCACATTAACTTCTTTGAATATAGTGCTCTAAATTTACATTGCGAACTTAAGTGTCTGTAATATATTATTTGTCATTCAAAACTAGCACAAAAACAAAGAGTTTAGTACATTGTCTTGGGGTTAGCTTTAATGTGACTTGGCATAAATGAAAATGTTTGACTTTATTGTAGGAAAACTTGTTGCCTTTGTACCAGTGAGCTTATTAGATACATTGTAATACTTGCTCCCAATGAGCAAGTACATTTAATGAGTGTTCTAAAAAAGCTTAGAAAGGAAAGTAGAAATAGAATTCTGACCCTTATTAAATTTGAAATGTTTTATCTTTTTATACTTTCAAGGTAACCTAAGATTTTATAAAAAAGATTTCCTATTAGACCCTTGCCTACAAGTTGTATCTCCATAATTGAAAGTTGAAAGTAGCAAATAAATCTTGACACAAATAGCTAACTTAGGAGTTCTAAGGTGTTTGAGCTTTACTCATAAGGATTTATATGTGTTCTACTTTGTATTGTTAAAAGCACATGAATAGTCAGTTCATTGTCATTTTCTGTTTCTCTGATTATTGAGATACCTTAATGCCCAGACTTTTGTCAGTCTAGCTAGCCATAGGACAATCCTGAGTATAATTTTAGAGACCCTCTTAAAAATAGATTTGACACATTAAACACTAATGATCTAATACCAGATGATTTGTATGGTGACATCAAGGATATTGGACACAAAACACAAGATCATTAAAAAGAATGAAAAGACCAAAATGTATGTCAGAAGAGCTGAATAGAAAATCTCAAAGGACACCATGAAAAGACAAGCTATGAAGTATTACAATGAAATGTACCCTGGAGTTAGAAAACCAAAAGAGAAGAACATGCTTGGCATTTCTCTAATTAAAGAAAAAAAAAAAAATCATGCTTCAAGTTACAACTTTATGGGCAAAATGTTGAGCTTCCCAGAAAGCATCAAAAGATGGAAGGAATAAACAGCATTACAGTACGAAAAAGAATTGGTTGATGTTCATCCATTTCAGGATGTAGCATATGAACAAGAACTGTTGTTATTGAAGGAAGAAGCTACACTGTAAACAAGGATCCAGGAATTCACAGAATACCAGTGGAGATACTTCAGTAAACAAATGCATCTCTGGGAGCACTCACTAGTCTATGTCAAGAAATTAAGAAGACTTCTATCTGACCAGCCTACTGAAAGATGGAAGAGGTCTATACTTGTGCCCATTCCGAAGGAAGGTGGTCCAACAAAATGCAGAAGTTATCGAACAGTATCTTTAATATCTCATTGTAAGTAAATTTTTTGAAGAAATTTAGTAAAGATTTGCCAGCGGCACACAAACTGTGAACCTGCCAGATATTTAAGCCAGATTCAGAAGAGGACGTGGAAAGGGGGATCTCCTCATTGCTAATACCATCTGATATAACCATGATGTATTTCAATAATCTTAGCCAATACCAGAATTTAAAGGCATCAATACCAGAAAGATGCTTACCTTTGTTTCATTGACTGTAGAGGCATTCCACTGTTTGGATCATGACAAATTATTGATACCATTGCAAAGAATGGATATTAATTTCAGAGCACTTAATTGTGTTCAAGGGAACCCAGTTGGTGTACTGGGTTCAGCATAGGGCTGCTAACTTGCAAAGCCAGCAGTTCAAACCCACCACCTGCTCTATGGGAGAAAGAAAAGGCTGTCTGCTCCCATAAATATTTACAATCTTGGAAACTCTAAGGAGCAGCCTGCTCTGTCCTATAGGGTTGTTGTGAGTTGAAATCATGAGTTTGTTTCATTTTATGTGTGTGTACCTAGACCAAAGGCAATCAATCCTTTAATTGCCTTTGTATTAAAATAAGAAAGGTGTGTGTCAGGGTTATATCTTTTCACCATACTTAGTCTCTATGCTGGCATATCTGTAAATAATATTTGTAAATAATACAAAAAGCTGGATAGTATGAAGAAGAACATGACATCAAGATTGGAGGATGATTCACTAACAACCTGTGATAACACAACCTTGCCTGCAGGAAGTGAAAAGACTTGAAGCATTTCCTGATGAACATCAGAGATCTTCAGTATGGATTGCACCTCAACATAAAACAGAAATCCTCACAACTGGTAAATAGCGTTATGATAAACAGAAACGATAGACATTGTCAAGGATTTTATTTTACTTGAATCCACAGTTGATGCACAGCAGCAGTCAAGAAATAAATGTAGTATTGAATTGAGCAAATCTTTTGCAAAAGGCTTCATTAAAGTCTTTAAAGAGCAAAGGTATCATCTTGAAGACTAAGGATGAGCCTGATTTTAGCCATGGTATTTTCAGTCACCTCATATGTATGCCAAAGGAAGACCAAAACAGAATTTGATGCCTTTAAATTCTGATATTGGCTAAGAGTACTGATTATATCATGGATTGCCAGAAGAATAAAGAAATCTGTTTTGCAAGAGAACAGCCAAGAATGCTCCATAGAAGCAAGGAGAGTGAGAGTTTATCTCACATACTTTTGGGCATTTTATCAGGAAGGACTAGTCCCAGGAGATAGACAGACATTATGCTTTCTAAAGTAGACCCTCAATGAGATGGACTGACAGTGGGTGCCACAATGTGCTGCACTACCACATAGCATTGATTGATTGATTGTAAGAATGATACAGCACTCATCCATGTGTTGTTCTGTTGTTGACATGAGTCAGAACCCATTCAAAGGCACTTAACAACAGTAACAACTAGTAACTAAGATGTCATAAAGAAATGTATTATAATTTATGTCCTTAAATTATGTTTGAAATTGCCTTTTATTATATAAAGTCTGTTAGTAGCTCTGAAAATAATTTTGTATGTATTGATGTGAGGGTGAGATTAAGAAGAGAGTGTGTTGTGAGGGTAAGATACAGAGAGAGTCTGTTGTATGTTTGTGTGTCATGCCTCAAAAAACAGATTTTGCAAAAGCCTGTTTTCGACTTATTATATGCCATTTAAATTTTTTTCCCACAGATTCATACAACAGAAGCTAGAGAGAGCTACTCCTGCTGAACGACAGATGGTATTTAATGAAATTCTTCAAGCAGCTTATCAATTAATGACTGATGTTTTTGGCAACTATGTTATACAGAAGTTTTTTGAGGTAAGAATGCATCATATCTGTAGAGCCATGTAGAAGCATCTAACTTAACTGTATGCTTAATACTAAAAAGTGCTTTGAAAGTTTTTTTAGTAAAATTCATATTCATATAAAAATACTAGGCTACGTTAAATGAAAATTTTAATATTAGTCCTGATTAATATTTGAAAATATAAATTATTGGGAGTAAGTCTTCAGTGAACCAGTTAATGTTTTAGTTGACATTTGAATTCTTAACTATACAAAAAAAGAAAAATATTTACAGTAGGGCACAATATAATAAGTTGAGGATAGTTTAGACATTGTGACTTACTCACCACCCCCACCCCAAATTACTAAATGTGATATTTGTAAAATAGACTCAGTAGGTTATAGTGTGTTACTCCTCAAATTAAATTAATATTATGGTCACTTTCTATTACTATTATTTTCTTTTCTGTCAGTTTGGAAGTTTGGATCAAAAATTAGCCCTGGCTACTCGTATTCGTGGTCATGTTCTACCCCTAGCCTTGCAGATGTATGGCTGCCGTGTTATTCAAAAAGCATTAGAATCTATTTCATCTGACCAGCAGGTAATTGTAAGTTAAGAATTTTTTTTTATTACTTTATTCAGTTTTCAAAATACTACTTTTCCTTTTTGTTTTACAATAATCTTAAAGTGAAAGGAAAAATATTCTGACAATTAGACTAAAATATAAAATCTTTTAGTAATGTCTCAGATGGCACATTTCTAATTCAAAATTGTTGTTCTTGAGTGTCATCAAGTTAGTGTTCTTAAGTGTTATCAAGTCGGTTCTAAGTCATAGCTGCCCTGTATTGGTTTCCAAACAATTACTGGTGAGTTTGAAATGCCAACCATGCAGCTCAAACCTATCTTATGGTTGAGTGCTTATCCTGTAATGCCAAATCAGGATTCCAGTTCAAAATTACAACACAGATATTTGATCTGTCCTTCCTGGCCATTGTCTTCAACATTTTTTCATCACTTACTGAAATCATTTGAATGCCTACTATGTGGCAAGCAGTGCCTATTTTAGATGATGCATGTTTGCTACCACTAGCTTATTGGATGTTTTGTGATAATAAGGAATGCATTTTAGTATTTCAGTGTTCATTTGGATTGGTCTTATATGTCCATTATTGTTGTGAAATGCCGTCTAGTCGGTTCCAACCCATAGCGAACTTGTATAGGGTTTCCGAGGAGTGACTTGGTGAGCTTAAACTGCCGACCTTGCATTTCAAACGGCTTTGTAGTCTGGCGCATTAACCCACAGTGCCACACCTGAACTCCATTTTCATTATAGAATATATTTTTTTAAAAAAACAAAAACTTTTCCTATATGCTAGCTGGACTTCTGGTGTGGCGCACTATAGGATCAGCACTGGACTGCGAACTGCAGGGTCGGCAGTTCAAACCTACCACCTGCTCCTCAGAAAGCCACCCTATATAGGGTCACTGTGAGTCGGAATCAACTCGATGGCACTCAACAACACAAACATCAACAGTATACTAGCTAAAAAATATATGTAAATAACTTTTTTTAAAATCTCACACAATAGTAAAAATGATCTTACCAAGATGCACAATTCTTCAAGAAAAAAAAAAGCCATAAAGTTATATAGTGATTTACCATGTTCCTGGGCAAAAGATCTATTTAAACATTTTGAGATAAATATAATTCATTCATGTACTCCTGGCAATTTTATTGTAACTGATCAAATAATGTGAAATATTTGAAATGGACAATGTTAAGGAAAACAGGAGATGAGAAATCCCAATCTTCTAGATTTTTAACAAATACAGCAATACTAATTACTGTGATTCTTGTTGCTAAGTGCTGTTGGGCCAGTTCCAATGCATAGCAACCCTGTATAGGGTTTCCAAGGAGCAGCTGAGGGCTTTGAACTGACAACTTGGTAGTAGTAGTAGTCCAGTGCTTCTCCTTTCAGTGCCATGTTGTTGTTGTTAAATGCTGTTGCGTTGGTTGCAACCCTGTATGGGGTTTCCAAGGAACAGCTGGTGAGCCTGAGCTGCTGGACTTGTGGTTCAAACCAACTTTGCAGTCTAGTGCATTAACCCACAGAGCCTCACCAGTACTCACATGAAATTAAACAGACTTTTAAAGTGAGTTGATAGCTGCAGATAGATAATACTTTATGTGAGGGTAAGTCAAAAAGTATTGATATTAGGGTTCCAGTCCATACATTCATGAGTTTATTTCCAGCAAAACATATTTAATCATATCTCTGTGATCAGTGGAAGGTTGCAGATAAGTTATCTCAGTAATACACTTGTCTGCTTAGGGGACATCCACCCCTCCCCACGCCCCACCCCTCAAAAAAAAAAAAAAAAAGTCCTGTCAAAACAGAAGCTTAGAAAGGGAATCTGTTGGGCTAGTTAAATTAGAAACACAAGTCAGTTCAGAAGGTTATGACCACTGATTTTGGGAATTCCAAAAGGACTATCTTGATAAACTTTCTGGAAGGACACAGGACAATCACTGGGGCTTATTAGGAGACGTTTTCAGGAAATGGAAAGCATTACTGACGAAAGGCATAAAAGGTGTGCCAATGAATTATTTTATTATGACAATACCAGCTTATTTTTCAAGGGTAGCAAAAGTTGTCCTATAAGAATCTGGTTGGGAACCCTTATACTTGTCCACCCTTCGGCCCTGATTTTGCTCCTTTTGACTTCTTTTTGTTCCCTGAACTTAATATTTAAAAGGAACATGATCTGAGTCCCTCAAGGATGCCAAAACTGCCATTTTTGATATGTGAATAAAGGGCACAGAATTCTTCACAGAAGGGTTAGAAAGATGGAAACATTGCCTTCAGAAATGTATAGACCTAGATGAAGAAATATATAGATAAACAACAGTTTCACATTTTGTTATTTTTGGTTGTTGCTTAAAGGTTTCTGTGATTTGTAGCACTACTTTTTGATTCACCCCTGTAAAAAACAGACTAAGTTTAAACATAAATGTATTATAGTTAAAATACTTCCAAAAAATGAAAGAATTAATTTTTCTTGAGGATTATCAGCAATCAGTAAGGAGTTTGGAAAGCAATCTGCTTAAAAAACTCACAGATTGAATAGATGTACATGTGTGATCCTTAGTAAAACTGTTGAAAAGCTATAAAGAAGTAGTAGTATTCTTGCTATATTCTGAGTTTTAGCATAATTAAAGATAATGCCATGTTGTTTTTGTTGTTTTTACATACCATCATCATCTTGGTTTCGACTCATAGCAACACTGTATAGGGATTCTGAGGAGCAACTGGTGGGTTTGAACTGCCGATCTTGCAGTTAGCAATCCAGTGCTTATCCTACTGTGCCATACCAGTATTCCAGCGCCACATCAGAGAAAGATAAAATTTTATTATGTAAAAATTTAGAACTTTTCTGCCAGAAGTCTTAAACTGGTATTAATTTTTTTTTTTTTAATGTTTTATTGTGAATTATTTGATAGTTTACATGGGAGAACATTAGTTTTGCATTCATCCTATAGTAAGTATATCATTTCAATACTATGGTTACAATTCCCTCCATGCATCATCAACCAACCAAAGGGTATATACTACAAGCCTGCCTCCTGGTCATCAGCACACCGCCCCTCTCCCTCTCTGTGTCTAAAGTTCCCAACAGCTCCATGTCTCCACATCATCGTCTCTGCCTCCATCTCATGCATCACTGCTTCTCTGGGTAAGGTCCTGCTCTCTCCTCTTCTTCCTTGATGGTCCTAGGGACCTCCACTCTTAGGCTGAAAAGTAAATTACTCCCCTCCTTGTTACAAAACGTCTACCTTTACAATTCCAACCCTCACAAGCAGTCCAGATAACAGTTATTCACTATTGTATCACAAGAGATCCATCC